GAAGCATCGGTCAGCAAGCTGAGCGCCTCTGTGGCCACTTTGTTCCAATCAATGCCAACACCAAATTTCGACAGGACTTGGAATCCTCACGTACCTTCATACCCCGGGTTGTTGAGACTGCTTTCAGAGACACCTGGGCAGCAGGAGAAATAACTACCAACTCTGCAATATTACGATTCTTACACACAACGGACCTTCTAAAACCGTCGGTTGGGTTGGTTTTGAAGTATTCAATTTGTTGTCTGGTGGTAGACTTTGTAGCATAACATTCGCGAACTTTGATCACGGGGAAGCTGACGTCACATGTGATGCCTCATCATCAATGCGGAGGCTCTATCTGTGAATTTGACGATGAAATCATGTTTTTTTTTCAGCAAACAGGATGGTCTTCCCATTTATTAAACATACCAAGGAACTCACATACCAATAGTGCATTTCAATGGCCTGATGCGTTTGTGTCATTTGGCTGACGAAAAAATAGGTATGGGATATTTAATCATAATTGTATCTTTGGTCTGTTAGATGTAAATCGAAATGTGTAACTCTAAAGTGGGGACATTGTTTGAGAAGTATCGCGTGTTTTGGGAGAGATTTTATCCTACCTACATGATATTTAACTCACAGATGGTATTTGTTTTCGATGGAAAATCAGGGTTCTCTCACTGAAATCACCTGCGTGAAGCGCACGAAGCCACTTAGAATGTTCCAGCAAAAAGTCCTTGGCAATTATAAATGAGGAATATCGAATGTTCAACTCCGAATACTTCGGCTGAAGACTCAAAGAGATTCGGTGTTTTGCGGGTCATACCCAAGAACTGGAGAAAAATACGATCAATCTACATGAAAATAAACCTACAGTGAAGCCGTTGAAGTTGTGAAAATTCCCAAAGACAATTTAATTAATTACACTGAGGTTTGTGACGCGGTTCGGCTCCGGTCACATGATCACACTAGCACCTCGTTACGCAGTGTTAATCACTGTCAAGCTAGTCGGACAAAGGTAGCCCGGACGTACATAAGTGCGGTCGCGTAGATAAGGGGTTTTTGTACTGGTCCCATGAGCGTATGTTTTGGTTACGAGCTAGAAGCAGAGACAAGTGTGATTCCGTTGTGACATACTACTGTTTGATGAAAGAATTTCCTAACTTTATTCAGCCAGACGTTCAACTCTACTCGGTTTTCAAAGCCACCCTCGTGATTTCGAATCTCTTTGTTTAATAAAAGATTTCGAAATGGGCAGCTGCAGTAAGTGAAATGCAATTTTTAGAAACCTCTGATTTAGGTCTCTTAGAAGCAAACTGGCGCTGACAAAAGATGCAGCGCATCACGTGAGTTAAATCCATTGGCTCAACACACGCTTAGCATTTAAGGAAAAATTACTTTCGTCTGTGTTCTTCAACGAGGTGAAACTTAAACCAAAGACACAAGTATGTGCTGGTCAAAGTAGGTCCCGTTCATATCTACGCATTGATATCAACAAACGTTTGAAAAGTCTCCCGGAAATGCTTAAAAGTGTAAAGTTCCTCGAATCCAAATGCTTTGTTTTACTCGGTACAATTGTTGTCAGCGCAAATTAACTATGGGGCTACACGTCTTTTTATCATATTAGTATTCAGAACTTTTGAAGGGTATAATTTGCAACCAACATAACATGTACCAAATCACCGCTCAATTGATACAATATCCGAATTTATTGCTGCGTACCCACCTGCTTTTTCGAATGCAGTTGTGTACCCCCGGGCATAACAGATGTTTGTTTTAATCACGGGACAAGGCTACACTTTTTTCAAGCGGTCGATTTCACTTGCATTCGCCTTTCCACTACATTTTGTTGATGCTGTTAACCTACATGTTCAAACATATTTTACAAAAGAAATTTTATAAGCAATGAACGAAGGAAACTAACCATGCAGCGCAAAGTAAAAATTCTATCGCTATAGTTAATTTTAGAAGTAATTACTGACTGTCATGAAAGTCACTAATAAGTAACCAATGCAAAGTTGTTTTGATAGTTGGCAATAAATGTGCGAATTCGTCTTTTTTTCAGGTGAAAGTGGGGCGAATCCAAAAAAATCCCAACATTCCTGGCCCTCTGACAAGACGTTTAAGATGCTTCAGACAAACTTAGCAAGAACTTCCTCGGTGGTGGGAAGCTGATTACAAAAATTTGCAAAAAGCAGTATCGTCTAGCAATAATTATTTAGTGTTTCTTAATTTGTCACAGTCCTTAGAAATACTCGTGCCAAATCTAGTGAGATTTGCTTTGATTCGGGAATTAACTTTTTAGGAAAGAAAGTTCTTTTGACACACTGAGCATGTAAGGGGTTCATTTGTTGGCACTTCGGCACGATTTCGCAACATAATTGAAAACTCCTTTTTAAAATATAAAATAATTGCTAAAATGAAACTATTCTTGTGATTTAAGTGTTACTAACTTAATTCAATGCAAACTGAAAACCGATATGAATGCATATTCATATTTAACCCTATAAAACTCTTCACATTAAATAAAATTAAGCTGGCTCTTTAACTAATGATTACTGCTGATGTCATCGAAGGCGGACAACACTACTGTTTGGTCAAACGTAGGCAGTCTATTTAGTTTTTATCAATTTGTGTGTCTAATTAATTTCACGGAGTCGGAAATTTAGTTGCATTTTTAATCTTCCAATTTCGCCTTGGGCTGCAGGCTCCTGTCCTTTTTTTAACTGCATGGCCACTTCAAACCCAAAGGTTTGCATTTTCCTAAAGTTAACATCGCTACCTTGATGTTTAAACAGGCTGCTTTGCCAGACACACTTATTCTCAAAATATCACTTGATGACCTTCGTGTGGTTTCATTGTTACCGTCAATTTACATCAGGCAGCTTGAAGAATCGGTTTTTCGCCATGTGATTAGGTCATAGGAAAGTATTTTTGCCTGAATCAGGTGATTATTGTAGCAGTTTGCACATCATGCAACTCACCCTGCTGAAAAAAGCATACTTCGACTCTCCAATTTCGTAACTAGTCTAAAAGTTAGTTTGAATTTGGGTATCTATCAATGCACTTCAGGTTAAATTGGCGAAAATTGAATGAGTACAGCCCTCGACTAGTTAGAGTTTGATGCAAGCACCAGGCTTGGATTATTTTGACTCAATCGCCGCCTACCTTTTTCTCACTTATGTAACAGAAATGTGAATGATCGCGAGATTCGAATCGAATCAATTTATGGTAGCACAACATCGACGAAATAAGATCATTGGTGACACAATTCTGTTTTGGCTTATGCCAAGCGCTATTGGAGCCAAACAACGAACCCCTAAATCATCGCGTACCTTAACAGAAACATTCACCACGTGGTGCATTCATTTAAACGGAAGCTTTTAATCAACAAATGGATCGCTGAGATACACCGCTACACATGCCTTCGGTAGCTTTTTGATGCGGCCTTTTGTTTGGGCCTCATTCATAACCGACAAAGAAAGTAAATTAAACCTGACACAACGGTTGGGAATGATGACTGATTTGTTTGTAACCGACCGTAAACGTGACCACTTCGGCTTTCGTTGAACGCCCACCTAAGCGATCAGGGGTTGAGGCTGTGTGTTTAATTGGTCGCCTTTCATGCACTCGAGGGCAAGAGGATTTCAGCTGTGAGCTGTGATTAACCCTAGTGAACGTTTACATATGCATGAGTCAAATAGGGAGAGAACTCAAGATGGACAAAATTCAGTGGATGCTGATACAACCTTCAGGTCAAGTGTAAGGATATCTAACATGGCATTTGAAACTACGATTACGCCAGCAAACGGAATAGCCAAAGCCAAAAGGTGTCGTGAATCCTGTTTATTCAACCCCCTAATCCAGTCGCTCCACCTCCTACACAGGGTTCCCCTTGTCGCGGCATGTCGTCAGCCGCTCGAATCCTCAACTCCCCCTTCATCAGCCCGAATATTTATCTTCGAGTGTCCCCGCACATAGGTCTCGATGTTAGTGCATGTATGACTCACACATCCGAGCTATAAATACACACGCGCAAACACCACACACGACACCAACGTGGTTGACCTCTGAAGTAAACGCTTGTGTCCGTCCTCTCCAGCCTTTTTCCTATATCGCGGGTATTAGGCAAGCGTAATCGGGCCTGGGTTAATTTCGCGGCCCCGGCATGGTTCAAGACCGCATGCTGGGGCCCACAACAAAGGGACCCCTGTTTCGTTGAAAGGCTCATTAGATTTCTTCCAATGAATCCATCCTACATTATCCGAAAACGCGTTATATTTCCTTGATCTATTAATCTGAACGTTTATTCTGTGTATTTGACTACGTTAGGCATAGGCGTATCCGCAGTTTACGTTAACTTGCTCTGGATACTCAGTTAGCGAAGGATCCAATGCTTACTTATGGGCAAGTGAAAGTTATTTAAAATCGGATTATTTTATTAAGAAAAAAATCGATTTTCGATAGAAACGAAGTTGACCACGGGTAAAGAGTGGTTACTGAATGACTAATCAAATGTGTTCTGGTAAAGCCCTAGTGATTTTTAGTGGAATATTTTAAAGGGAGACGAAGGTTTACTAAGGTAATCTAATTTTTTTTGTTGTCAAAACAACTGAAGGGGTCCATTAAGCGTCCCAGGTCACCTAAAAGTGTAATCAAATGTGTTAGGTTGTGTGAAACCTTCTACAAACCGATCATCATGTGAACGCAACACGTACTCATCGTAAACACACATCCTGCAAGTCGAGTGCCTTTAAAGGTCATCAATTTATCTCTTGTCATTAGGACAACGAAAAAAAGCCGAGTAAACCAGGTGGCAGTGTAAACAAAACATGCAACTGCAAGGAGCCTTTAAATAGAAGTGCATTTTTTGTAGCTGACCAAGGCAGTCGCAAGGGCAAACCCAAGGCAACGTTTTGAATCATCCGCTTCGAAACACCCCAAATTAAATGCGCTCTGCAGCAACCAAGCAATAAAATCCTGTTTGACAAAATCCCGAGGATTGTGCTGCGTGATTGTGCAATCAGACTGAAACTAACGCGGTTCTTTTTATACTGGGCCCTTGGGGGGAGCTTAATTAAATAATTAGACGCTCAGTCCTTCACAAAACCGGAGCTCACGTGCTAAATGACGCTTGCAGTGACTACTGAGAAAAACATTTATAATTAAAGTTGTCATTTTGCACACCTTAACTTGAGAATAGAAAGGAAATGCATTAGGAATTGGTGACAAAGTTACTCAGCCCCCTTTTATGCAGTTTTAAGTACAGGCCGCGCTCATGGTTGCGACAGCTTCACGTGAGTGCAAATGCGTAAACAGCCTTCGGTGTTAAAAAAAAACCCCTTACAAAGTCCAGCGTTGAAGGTTTAGGAAACGCTTTAACGCCTCCGGGTTGAACAGCTGCGAAAATTAAGGCAATTTGGTGAGTTAATCAGTTTGGTGGTACTGGTGTTGGGTTTTTGCCCTACCGATGCCTCCGGCAGTTTACTGAAAGATAAGCAAGTGAAAATCCCTTCATTGTTCGGCTCTATCGATCGTGTTTAAAGAATGTGCTCTGGTTCCACTATGCAGTAATGTGGCAACCACATGCACTCACATCTTGCGGATGAGTTGATTAGTGATTACAGCCATAGCGAAATCTATCTTAAACCACTCTAATTTGGACACTTTTAAAAAGACATAAAAATGGGAGAACAAACATTAATTGGTATTGTAATTACTTATGACTGGATAAATAAGAATGGCCATTATATTAGTGTGAATTTGGGAATAACAGTGGATAGGTTGGTATCTCGAGACGAAAAGTTGCATGGGAGGATGGCTAAACGGCTCTCTTGTTGGCAAGGCAACAGGCAGCGAAGACGGCACCGATCTCGATAATCGACAACACGATGGCTGTCACACCAGCCGCGATGATGTTGCTTCGCAGGTAGTCATACACGGCGTCAGCGCACCCCTAGAAATTTTACAAACACTCATGCATCAGCCCAAACGCAGAACCCACCACTCTTGAATGAAAACGCCCGCAGTCACTAGAACCCTACTTAACCACTAAAATCATTAATGCGGGAATTAAAACATTTTTTTGAATCCCGCCTACTGGTTTTGCCGATGAAGCATTTGAAACTGTCAGGGTGGCGTCTGCAGTGCCCGGTGTAACTGTGAGAGCAGATCAACTATTCTTGAAAAGGGGGAATTCTTTCAGGGGTCCTCCCTATGATCCAATTCATGACATATGATAAAGGTAGAGGCACTAGGAATAAAGACCTCTGGCGTAGTTAATGAGGGTAACGTTGCGATTCCTCGTTGAAATGGCTCGTGGGGGGATGTTGCCTATGCAACTACAATTAAGTGAAACAGCGTGGACACAAATTACAATGAGTTGTCGCCTGACTTCCTCATCATCAAAGAGGGGAAC